CTACCTGTGAATATAATTCTCCCTGTTAGCCGGCAGGTCATAATTAATAACTAGTGACACCTGCTGTACATCAATACCACGAGCCTATAGCAACAGACAGAAGTAGACAAATAAAGCATTTATTCATTTTATTATTATCTCAATTATCAATTATCTCATTATTTGTTTTATCTGGACTTAGACCTCACCAGTAGATCAGTTGTGATAAGAACTCTTGAGGATCCACTTCTGAATTCCTTCATGATGATGTCACGATCCTTCTGTTCCATATCACCATGCTAAAAATCATAATTAAAATAAATAATTATCAATACCAAAATAACCCTACATATGATTGTAGTACAATATTAAACTGTCATTCGATTCCTATTATTAGTAAAACACTAATGCTGGTTTACAGGCTAGTATACAATAGGATGTTAGGCCAATGTACCGTCAAATTTTAATCAAAAGTGTGGGCAATTTGACCTTATGACGCATGCTTTCTGCTAGAATAGAACCAGATTCTATTCCAGCGTCTACGTAACGTCAGGACTAGCGTAATATTGTAAACCAGCCCTAATAGTGACCCATTACCAACTACATGTTTACAAGTTTAATACTTGATAAAATTCACATTATGAAACCCAAAAAACAAAAGTGTAACTGCTGGCTTATTAATTCATAAACGACAATATAACTTTTCAATTAAATCTTCTACATGTTTACTTCTCCCACTCCAACATTTTTGTACTACAGTGTACATTCTTCCTTCTCTCTCCCCCTCTCTCCTTCCCTCCCTCTCTCCCCTCCCTTACCATAGATGAGACAGTGAAGTCCCTAGAGTGCATCTTCTCAGTGAGCCAGTCCACCTTACGGCGAGTGTTAACAAATATCACAGCTTGAGTGATGGTCAGTGTCTCATATAAATCACACAAAGTCTCTAACTTCCATTCCTATAGTTATAATTATAGAGGACAGAGAATTTTTATTACCATTACTATTAATATCATACATACATCAATACACATGTACATGGATGCATAAAGGGTCATTATTAAGGGTCAAATTTTCCTTAAAATTTCATACAAAAGCTGCTACTATTAATAGCTATTCAAAAAGTGATGATTGGTATTCAGTACAATAGGCATTTTAAGAGACTTTACTACTACTACATGCACTACCAGTGATCTAAGAGCTACTGCTATGGGTCATTAACTAAATCAATACAGTACCATATGTACATGAGTAGGTCAAAAGGTCACATATCACAATGAAAATCACCTAATAGTACATATACATTGAACATAGTATATATACATGTACATGTACATACAAGTACACGTAACTTACATGTACACGTACAACAATCATTTACCTCTTTCTCAACTTGTACGTAAAATTGCTTAATACCCTCAAGTGTTAGCTCCTCCTTCTTAACGAGAATCCTAACGGGATCCCTCATGAAACGCTTGGTGACATCAAGCACCTCCATCGGCATAGTAGCTGATAATAGAACTACCTAATAGAGAGAGGGGGGGAGAGAAAGAGAGAGAGAGAGACAAAGAAGGAGAGAGGGAGGGAGGAGAGAGGGAGAAAAGAGAGAGGGAGGGGGAGAGTGAGGGAGGGAGAGAGAGAAAGGAAAGAGAATGAACACAACAAGAAAAG